CAATACTCAGCTGAACTGAGTTGGCATCGTTCTGGGCATGCAGGACCCACTTTATGGAGGCTTGTGGTTGCATACAAAGGAGAGCAGGAGGGACAGATATTATTTTCCTTGGCTTCTAGAGCTTTGTTCTGGCTGCTTTTCTTCAGAGAGGCGTTGGCTGTTCTCTTCAGCTGAGCTCTGGTCTTTGCCTTGCCAAGGATGATCGCTGTGCTCTTTGGAGGAGCTCTGGTCTTTGCCTTCACCTTGAGCATCGTCTCCTGGTTTTTGGTGCAGATCCTTCAGTGTTTGGCACTGACTTTGGGCTTCCAGTGCAGACCCTTACCTCTTCTATCACAGGTTCCTCAGCCTGCTGATGCAGATTCACACATGGCATTGTCATGGGCTCCAGACCTTTGACTGAATTCTTCCGATCGCTAGCGTATCTCTCACGCTCTTCTACTTCTGACTCTGTGGGTAGGATTGTCAGCTAGTTTTGTAAATGTCTGGGTGCTGCATTAAATCTGTTTCTCTTGCAAATACTGACTACGAAACCTCTAAAACCACAAGCTGAATTGCACAGACACTTTCTTTTTCTGGATCCCAACCAAAGCCAATAACCTTTAGATCTGCATGATGAATGGGTGATATCTGTATCCTCAAATGCAGAAAATGTTGCCTATAAAACCAACACTCATTGAGGACTGGATTTCATTCTTTGTGGTAGGGAATGTGAGGTCTTTTCTCACTCTGTGGATTCCATGTGCCTTTCTGAGGTGTTTCGAATACCTGACACTTCGTGGTCATCAGGTTCTATTAGTCTGCTGTTAATTTTAAAAAGTCTGGAGAGTCCAAGTCTCTTTTATTTATAGGGGGGTAGAAATCACTGAAACATAAAATAATCTTAGTAAATCTCTCTCTCATGTGTATGCAAAGTGCTCTGCCACTGATGGTGAGAGCGATATGGCTTGCCACTTCCAAGTTGATACACTGTGTCCCGGAAGCTGTCTTAATCTTGTCCAGCGAAGGTGACTATATTTGGTACAGCAGATCCAGCCAGCCTTTGCAGAGGCTGAACTGGCAAATGAAGTAGAAATGCTATAAGCAATCCCACTGCAATCCTACCGCTGTATGGTTTAAGTCCCTCGGTAAAGTCTTGCTTCTGTGCTGGGATGAAACACTGTTTTTACTTACTCTAATTGATGGGGACACTGGGTGTAGTTTTGGGGCTCCTACTTGGATTACTACTACAACTGTTCCTGCTTTAGAAGACAAGGGATCACTGATGAATATGTCTGCTTGAATTGTACTCTAGGACAGTGGCAGCGAGTCCATTAGAGATTCAATGCTAAGCAGCAGCCTCTGTGGCGCCTGTGTTGTATGTTCAGCACCATCGCCCTAGCGTCAGGGAAATCCAAAGGAGTGGCTCTATGGACCAGGCCACCCCACGCAAGTCAGAGCTGGGCCAGGACTCCACCTGCAAATGTACTGCAGTGGGGACAAAGCCAGATGGTGCTCTGGGTCTCCTGGTGCTGTGGCCTCATGTGCTTCTAGGTGGGACTTTGAGAAGGTGGCGGAGTCCTGAGTGTCTGGTACTGGATTCGCTCACTGATTGGTTTAGTACATTTTGGACTTTCTGGAGACGGAAGAGTCACCCCAGGTGTGGGCACCAATCAATAGGTTTTTAGCTTGGATGAAGTGAAAGGGGAAAGAAGGAAGCTTGCTGCCTCCTGCCTACCACGCTAGGAACTGATTTTCCTCTGCCATGCTGTCCTGCTTTGGAACCAGCAGATATGGACTGAAACCACTACAAACTGTCGGCTGGAAAAAACCTTTTCTCTAACCTTTGGGCGTCAGGCATTTTGTCTCAGCAACAATAGCAATGAAGACATCTGATATCAGAGTAAGCTTCAGGTCTGTGCCCAACAAACCTGGAAGGGTCTGGAGATTCCCTCTCCAGCCATGTTGTTGCACAAGCACCAGCTGTAATTCTCAGCAGGGGAGTAAGGGCTACAGGTCATACTGGGTCTTCATCCTCTGGACCTGGTGGCTCTTTCAGCCAATGAGTTCCACATCTAGAAGCAGGCTCTGACTTGCAAACTCAGCACAAGTGTATCACTCTCTCACTCTCCATTGGGTAGGAAAATCTCCACCCTCCCACTTGACTTCTTTAAATATATATATGGCTAACATTACTCTTGCTGGCTGCCCACTTATCTTATTTCTAGTAACAAACACCATGAATTACAAGCTGACTCTACAGATGGTTGTAAATTTTACCTTGATTTTTGCCATCTGACTTTGATAACCCTACTTCATGATATCCAGAGAACTCAGTCTTATAAAGGCACCACTCCCACAGGAGCTCAGCCTGCAGAGGACAGGCACTGCCAAGCTTAGTGGCAATGCCTAGTGCTCTCACTGCTTTAATGAATGGAGGGTGCTGCAGTCCATCCTAACAGACACAAACAGCTGTCGGGTATTCAATGGGAGGGTGTCCCAGTCCTCCGTGGCCGGGCCATTTTATTTTGTTACTCTAGAGCCCCTTCTAGCTTGCCATGGCAGTTCTACCCTCTTTGCTTGGTTTAACACCAACTGGTAACTTTTCCAGTTCCTAAGAGTCACCGAACAGTGTTCTAGCAGCATCACTTACCAGTTTACCAAGGAGTCACATACTGAATTACAAGGGCATTCCTCACATTGTTATCAGTGCCCTATGGTTCAGCACCCTAGAAATTCAGTCCCAGGTATGTTCTCTTCATTCTGGCCGAAGTGTGACCCAGGCCTGTAGCAGCCTCTGTGCATACTCTGCTAGTCCCTTACCACGTCCATCGCTTCTGCTGACTGCCAGCGCTTAGATTTGACCATTATGAAGGGGCCAGTGCTGAGGAGGTAAGAAAGCAAATTCTCTTCTGCTTGGTGCCTGCCTTCATTGAGACCTTTGCATATCTTCAACAGAGTGGGAATAGTTTGTCTTCCAAAAAAGAGAGCTGTATTTAGCCTAGTTGGTTCAGAGAAATCCAAGGTGCAGGTTCACCAGTGCATTCACCTGACTCCAATTCCAAGACCCCGTCTTCCCTCTTGGAGCCCAGCAGTATAATAAGGCCTTTATTTGGGCCAAGAATTCTCAGAAGTTCAGAACATGTCGCATTTAAGTCTTCTCTCTAGTCTTCAGCTATTTCTCCCCTCTGACTTTAAGAGAGGAGAATTTTGCTTTAAAATGCTGCCAGGGAGGCCGACACTCACACATTGCTTTAAATTATTGAGCGAACTGAGCATGTCATTTTCTTTTTCAAAAAAATCAATGGTACTTAGCGATAGCCACTTAATTTCATCATCTTTATGGTAGCTATTTCTCTTGTCTCTTCGAAGTCTGAAAATTGTGCTGCGTGGTGCTTTCCCTCTACCTGCATCCATCCTCCTCTTCCCAGCCGAGAGTCTTCGCAGCTGCTTTGACACATCCCAGAGGCTGGGAGTCCCCACCTACCATATTGGACATCAAAGCTAGGTCCCAAGACTGATTCTCAGGCCGGTGTAGGCATGATGTCAGCTTGCTAACCAGAAGAGCTCTATTTGAGTGAAAAGAAATGGATCATTTTGTTTTCAGGCTTTTCTGTCTTCTCTTGATTCCAGCCTGTCTCCTTCCTTAGTCTTTCTAACTTTGCTAATTCTACATCTGATCTGCAGTCTCAAGACTGCATTTTGACTATAGAATGTTACAATTTTTCAGGTTTCTTTCACAAGAAAGAGAAGAACATTTTCAATTAAATGGTCTACTTGTGTATTCTTAAGTCCAGTTTCCATACTTGGGCTTAAGAAGCTTGTTTCCTGCACATTAGTAGACAACTCTTTTAAAGTATTACCATTTTGGGAATTAACTGTCAGCTTTTTGTGCACAGATCAAGAATAGCAACACTACCGAAATTGGGAAGCACAGCCAATCTTCTGATTCATTGTAACTCTGAAGGAAGCATTCGCAAGCTTAATTAAACGTGAGTCATCATTTGAAAGTACAGAGGTCACAAGAAGTTAAGGAATTTATTTAAAGGCATAAAGGAAGTGAGCAATAAAGTTTATACTAGAGCCTATGCCTCAGGCCTCTTATTCTTGAGTGCTTCTCTTAACTTGACTTCGGATCTCTGCATCTTGAAAACAATGCCCAAAACAGATCTGTTAACCATGATTTTTATGATATATTTTACTCTTAGGTCGCAGTGGAGTAGAACATGAACAGAAAAATATCAAACTCTATGGAAATGTTATGTCAAAGACCCATACTGAAGGGTAACTGATGTCCTAGAATGGACAGAAGGTCAGGTGAGGGTGCCGCGCTCCTCTTCAGAGGAATTTCCCCATTTCATAGGAGTCTCTTCTCTACTGTAGAAACTTTTCATGAGACTGATGTTCACTTCACACTGAAGAAAACTTCTTGCCTCTGACTGTCATCTGCTCTTCTTAAATCTCGTCACTTTTCTTGGTTTGTAGACTAAGAAAACATTTTCAGTAAACTATAGTTAATCTCTTCTCTATTAAATTTCTAAATGATTCTATCAAAACTATCATTACAATTACTGAATTGTCAGCAATCATATCATCGTGACCACAACTTCCATGAAGATTGTTATTCATTGAGGATTTGGTATGTACCAGATCATGTGTTATGAACTTTATATGCACTAATTCCTTTAGTTCTAATGACACTCCTATGAGACTGTGATAATTATTAGCTCCATTTTATAGATGAGAATGCTGACACACAGGAAATTTTAATGTATTTGTCACAGTCCCACCTGTAATTTGTAAGAGCACATGAATTTGATCTGAAGTTTGCTAATAGAAGAATTTGCTATTATGAACATAATGACTTAGGTTGGATGGTAAGATTAGAAGAAAAATCAGTTACAGAGAAAATGTGAATGTCTTAGGTTTAGTCTAGATGTACTAGTATACTGTGTTTAAATTCAATAGGTTCAGAGGAACTATGATAGGCTAGTAGGAAACCATGAAATAAAACAAGAAACTCCTTTTGGCAGAAGGATTTATTTTTGCAAACACAAGGGCAAAAGCACAGAACAAGTCAGTAATTTGACAACAATACAACATTAGAGATTTTTCTTCTTGGTTGTCCTGACAACAAGCTTCACTTTTCATGATAATTTATAGAGAAATGTTTACGCAAATAAAGTACAAGTTATCAGGCATAAAATAGTAAGTGGCTTTGGTGATTTCCACTTGGAAAGAAGTGTGGAGAGAGGTGTGGGATAAATTGTATTCCAGGAGAGAACAAGGTCAGGATGGGATGGAGTTGCGTGACGGCCGGAGGGGGCTCCCATGAGCATGCAAATTGGGAGCTTCATGGGCGCTGTGGAGCTGTGGTCTCTTCTGATTGGCTCATAAAGTTCATATTTAGCTAAACGTACTGTACATTCTTACTGCCTGACTTCCTCAGTGTGAGACCACTCCTGTGGTGGGAGGAAAAGAAGATTTACAGGAGCTGGGTAGGTGAATCAACGTTACCCAGCCCCATGGCAGACTATATAGATGTACCTCACCTTACGATGGAGTTAGACAGAGAGAAACAACGCGGTAGTTTTTAACCTTTTGTGATTGATTTATTCCATTTAGCAATATGGTGTCAAGTTCATTATTTTTGTACAAATGAGTCAAATTTAACCTTACTCTTCATTGTGGCTAAGCAGTGATCCCTTGTGTATAAATACCACATTTTCTTCACCCATTCATCTACTGATGAACATAAAACTGCTTCCAAGACTTGGTGACCGTGATTTGTAGATGGGAATGTGCATATCTGCAAATAGCGATTTTAGCCCTTCTGGAAAGATACTGAGGAGAAGTTTGCCTGGGTCAAATGGAATTTCTAGTTTTTCTTTTTTGAGAAATTTCCATACTGGTTTCCAAATTGGTTGTACTAGCTTACTGTCTCACCAACAATGTGAGTTTCTTTTCCCCCACGTACTCCCCAGCATTCATTCATTTTAAACAAATTGTAGAGTAAAATAAACAGCCCTGTAAAGAAACAGGGTGGTAGACTCTACAGAGATGGAGAGGAGCCTGGGGAAGGAGGAGGGATGTGAGGAGGGGATTAGCCATCTACAAACCCCTATGAGTGTGCCACAGAACTTTGCATATCAGCTGTAGTGAGCAGGGCTAATCCACTTTTATTAATCAGAGGACACTTCTGGACTTCCTTTGGACTAACCCTAAAAACCAGCTTGGATAATCTGAATGAATAAATGAACATTAGGAGCTGGGGTTTTAGCTCAGCAGTTTAAGTGCCTGTCTGGCGTTCAACCCCCAGAAACAAAAACAAAAAATGAACATTAAAAGAATGTTGTATACCTTATAGAAGTAACAGGAATTCTGCAAAATTTGGCTCAAAAGAAAAATATAAGAACAGCATCTTGTATCTAAGTAGCCAGAAGTTTGTAAACTGTTCTGCATGTCTATGCAAGTGGATAGACTTCAAAACTTACAGGTATTTTTATCTGAGGGCCAAATTCAAATTTCAGGAGAGATTCTTATTTGGACTGTGTCACATACCACTGCCTTCGTTAGAACAAGACCCAGAACTGTATGGAGAAGTCACCGTGGACTATATAGACAGAGCACAGACAAACAGAGCACTAAGTTCTGGGAGAAGTAGATGCTGTCACTGAGAATAGTCACGAGATGTTAGAAATCCTGGAATGTAGCAGCCAACCCCTACATGGTCATTGCAACGTGCAGAAATTTAAGTCCTGATATTAAAATGTTTAAATATTACAAGATTATAAGGCTAGAAAGAGATGTTACGCGGAAGGATGCACTTCAGTTCAGACTTAAGGGTCTGTATTATAAGCCTTTAGAAAGTATTATAGTCTATATCTACATAATTCTTCTCAAGCAATTCTCTGCAAAGCCAAGTACTTTTGCAGCCTTAATTAAATTATTTGTCTGCTCCTACAGCTAACTAGGGCATTCTGGATTCAGTAGCTCAAACTAGGCCCATTCTGAGGGAAAGAGACATAAATAAGATGCTCGGGTGTCGCAAGTTCGTGACTTGGCATTGATGAAATAAGAAGTGTTTGGTAACTGCACAGTGCAGGGGCGTTTGCTGCTCTCTAGCAGAATGAATAAAGAGGGCTCAGGAGGAGAAAAGAGGAGGACTCATTATTTTTGGTGATGTTGAGGGATGCTCTGTGGAGAAGATATTTGAATGGATCTTAAAAAAGGAGTTCTTGTTGATGCTCTGAGTTAGGGAAGGAGAGAACTCTGAAATGAATGCATGGAGGTGTGACAGGTTGTGGGAGGTGCTATGTGCTGGGTGTCCCCCAGGGCCTCGGGGACTCACAGGTGGGGACTTGGGGGTGATGCTGGATCAGTCACTAATGGGTTTATGGCGGGGGTGTGACACTGGTGGGAAGAGGGGGTCCTGTGGGTCTGACCTGGCAGGATACTGCCCATCTCCACTCCTCCCTGAATCACTGCTGCTTCCTGCTTGCCTTGCCATGAGTGGTTCCTCCTCTGCGTTGCCCCTCCGTCACGCTGTCCTGCCTGAGAGAGAGCCGGCCATCTATAGTCTGGAACCTCTACGCACTGGGAGCCAAAGCCCTTTCTTTAATTTATCAGTGTCAGGTTCCTTATCCCTGCCAGCAGGTGCAGGGTCACTGAGCCAGCAGTGGCAGGGTGGGAAGCTAAGGACATGAGCGGCCAGGGCGATGGCTTTCCAAGATGGGGCTTCCTCTGAAAAAGAGAGGATGGTGGGCCTTGATGGTCTCCGAGAAAGGCTCTACATTAAGATCCCTGAGTTGTGGAGGCAGCAGGAGGTGGTGGGGAGAGATCACTGTCAAGGCTGTCACAGTCATTGGCAGGAGGCTGTGGTGAGCGGAGCAGTAGGTGGAGACTGCCTGCAAGTGAGGAGGAAGCAGAAAAACAGTCAAAGCTTTCTGATGCATTCTTAGGTCCATTCCCAGAGTCAAAAGAGTACTGTTTAAGGTGGTTTGAGATTTAACTCAGCCACTCAAGCACCTACCTGGTTAGCGTGAAGTTGTGAGTTCAACCCTGCTACCAAAAAAAAAAAAAAAAAAAAAAAAAATCTGTTTAAAAAATAAGAGAAAACAGATTTGGGGAAAGCAAATATAGTTGATAAGCTATACTTTGGTTAAACACTTGTAAGCTCAATATTTTCCTCCTTAGGCACAGTACCAGTATGTAGACTAGTGGTCTCTCCAGGTATGGCCATATCAGTGACCCTAAGCATTAAAGAGTACACCCAGAGAGCCAGAGAGCAGCTCCCTGAGCCTTCGTCCTCTTCGGTGCTCTGAGGTGTGAGACATGGGGTGTACTCAGAGAAAAGACTCTGGGTAGCTCAAGACAGGAATCTGGTCAGTGAAAAGGCCTTAGGGCTCTGAGATCAGGCAGGCTGACTGTGTTGCAGATTGCTGCAGGTTACGAGCGTAGACAGTTACAGATCAGTTTGTGGGGCCAGAGAGAGCCAGATCTATCTGCCTAGAAAAATAAATAAGTACCAGTTCAGAACGGAGGTTAAGGAAGATTTACAGGGTGCACCTATGTGTGCGCCCTGCGCTGGGTGGGTCATGGCGCCTGGCACGGGAGGTTGGTTGTCCTCATGCGTGCTAGCATCCTGCTGAGGGGGAATGGCGAGCTCCAGGCCTCTGATTAGGGGACATTTTCCCATTTCCCCTCCTGTGGTCTAGTTTTGGTAGAAAAATGGATGACAGGCTGGGAGAGGATAAACAATAAACAAGAGAGGAAAAGAGTCTCTCCCTGAGCAATCTTATGAAACAAAGCATAAATCTTTAATGGCCTGACCTTTCAGGATTCTTGGTCCAGGAGGGGAAGATAAATCAGGGCTCCTCTGCAGGCTGCAGGAAGGCAGCTTCCTGCTTTCCAACAGGAAGCAGCCTATTTGCAGAAAGAACAGAGCTGTGTCATTGTTTTTAATAGAAGCTCAACTGATTTCCTAGAAATTGAAATGTCCTCTTGGTTGGGAAGTGAAATTTCTACTGGGTCATTCCTCCTCTGGCTACTCCTTGGTGGGAAGCTTTATTGCACAGTGCCGGAATTACAGACACAAGCCAGGTGAGAGGTCGCAGGGACTGACTTCCTTGCAAGGGGACCAGCCAGCAGTCCCCTAAATGCAAGTGGAATTGGGGAAGGTTGAGGGCTGCAGAGTCCTGAGTCTGCTCTATACCACACAGTGGGTGGCACTTTTAACCCTCCTGGTGCCTGTTACCGATGGATGGCCAGTTTCCTGTCCTGTGTTTCTCTGTGCTCACCACCACCCCTCAGTACTCATGCCCTTAGAAGACAAACCTGCATTCTTGCACTCAGCAGCACAATAGAGGTCTTCGCAGAGAGCTTCCCTGTGGCCAGTGCCCTTGTACCAGCAAGCACAGTAATAAGATTTGAAAGAAAGCGTGTTCCTTAAATACACAACGAAGGGAGCTTACTTTTTCTGAGCACACTGACAATGAATGTGATCAAAGAACTGAAGTTCCCACAGCACGTGAGAGAAGGTATTTTCCCCTTTTTACACATTTTGTGGTGGGGCCTGGAGGAAGGCCGGGCAGTTGGTGACTAGAAGGGGAACACAGTGAATTAGTAGTTTAAAATGTCAGTGGACACACTGATGAACCTTGAGTTTAAAGATGTTAATTGGCTTTATTTTTGATTCTAGAACCAGCGAACCTTACATTGTATAAAACAAAATGAATGATAGGTTGGAGGTTGCCTGCCAGGGATGGAGAAGGTGGAAGGGCAGAAATAAACAGATGTGGACTGGTCATTTCACGGTTACTTTATCTGTAAACCCTAAGGGGCAGGAGAAAGAAACAATAGGAAAACAACTGACATTTTAAACATCAGGTTAGCTTTTGGGGTATCGGATAAAGTAGAGAGAACCTCACCGGCACCATGAGTTAAACTGGCTTTTTTGGAAAGTTTGGCTTTTGTCTCTCTACCCGATTTCTCCAAAGGTCAGACGGCAATTTAACTTTGGTTC